AAGCGTAACGCACCATAGTAACATTGGCGTTAATTTACATCGCATCAAATCCTCAAATTATTCTATTAAATTAGATCCCGTAAAGAATGAAGTTACCGTGCAAGTTATTCAATTGAAATGCACGAGACACAACCGTGGCATAAATTTCAGAAACGAAAATGTGTGATGTACACCAAGGGTTGCAAATTCGAAGTGCATCAATTTCGTTTTGAAATTCAATTTCGTACGTACCCAATCTATATTAAAACAGGAAGCTTTGAGATAGAGGTCTCAGTTACGTCCCAGAGAAGCACACCGAATTGACCCGTGTTTGATTTGTGTCATTTCTCCCTTTGAAAATATTATCGAACTGTCGAGGTGATATAAATAAATAAAATGCTAACATCGTGGCACTTTGTACTTGCACAGAAAGTATGGTTCAATTGGTAAGTTAGGGGGTTCATACATCTTCAAGCGCATTACGTCCGCTTTATTTAATACAGAAAGACAGTAAAGCTAAGACATCTAATATTAATGGATACACGTGCCTTATACCACTTTCCAAAGGGATCCTTCTAAGTAACGGTAAATTATTTATCAACACGTCAGCGTAAATCAATAAAATAAAAGCCGGGTTGTATTCCGAATTGCGGCTCTTGAAGTTTGTCGTTGTAAAAGCTTAAAAAGTGATAAACCACATTTTTAGCGCATTTCCACAAAAATAAAAAAAAATGCGCTATTGTGGCCCCTTTGTCCGTCCGTCCGTCCGCTCGTTTTGCGACGCTACTAGTTCTTTATCTTAAGAGCTATTGTTCTACTTTTTTCGCTATTTGGTTCGTTATGGTGTCGAGTCTTGTACCAAGGAAGGAATTTTTTCTGTACCGCTTACAAAAAAAGTTATTGTAAAAAAAACAAAAAACCGTTTTTTACATGTTCCATAATTTTACACTTTTGCCGTTTATTAACGATCCTAGAGATCGTTTATAATTTTGCATTGCTATCTGTCGCCTGCCGGTTGGTCTGTCCGTCTGTTCCTTTGTCTGTCTGTCCATCTATCTGTCCGTGTGAACGATAACTTTGTTTAGAAATGTTCGATCGCTTTTACATCTCCGTTAGTTATGAACTGAATTGCATGAAATTCAATATGGGCATAGCTTTAGCCATATAATACGCAATGCCAAAAGTTGAATCGAATCGATTCAAAATTCACAGTGCCCTTTTCGCATCTCGACCATTTATAAACCGAATTGCAAACTTTTTTACTTATTAAAGTATTTGAATGAAATTTGATACATAGGCACTTGGAATAAAGGAAAATCAAACGCCAATTTCAACATTTGGTTTTGCGCATGCGCAACTTTTTTATTTATGGAAGAATTTAAATGAAATTTGATACATAGGCACATGGAATAAAGGAAAATCAAACGCCAGTTTTCAAAATTTGGTTTTGCGCATGCGCAGTGCCAATTTTTTTATTTATGGAAGAATTTAAACGAAATTTGATACATAGGCACTTGGAATAAAGGATCATCGAGCGCCAGTCTCAAAATTTTCTTTTGCGCATGCGCAGCGCCAACTTTTTTATCTATGGCACCATTTAAGTGAAATTTGATACTTAGGCGCTTGGAACAAAGGAAAATCTAACATTAGTTTTAAAATTTAGGTTTGCGCAGGCGCAGTTCCAACTTTCTTATTTAGAAAAGCATTGAAATGAAATTCTTCTCATAAACTGAACTTGAAGAAGCACGGAAAAAATGGATTGCCCATGTGCAACGCTATCTTTCATATTTGTGGCCGTATTTTTACGATTTTAACAGAAGTTGCATCTTACAAATGGGAAATGAATGCAAGTGGAAATGCGCTTTATGTAAATCGTTTAC